ATGGATGGATGGACGGATGGATGGACGGATGGATGGATGGATGGATGGATGGATGGATGGATGGACGGGTGGAAGGAGGAATGGATGCACGTGTGCGTGTGTGTGCGTGTGTGTGTGTGTGTGTGTGTGTGTGTGTGTGTGTGTGTGTGTGTGCGTGTGTATGCGTGTGAATATGTATGTATGTAAGTATGTATGTTAATTTGTTTGCTTATTTGTTTGAGAGAAGAGAAACACATCGACGCAATAATGGCCATTTAGTGCAAGAAAATAAAAAGAAAGATAGACAGAAACAACAGAAGGAAAGTAAAAAAGTAGATCCTACCAGCGGTACCCTCCAACCGCAACCTTCTTAAAGCAAAAACGAAAGAAGGAAAAGAAAACAAACACACACGTACAAAATACAGCTGTGACTGCAACAAACATCACATTTATGATCAAAACACCCACCAGCCGCGCGAAAAGTGACACAATAAGTTTTGTAGTAGTGCTGGTGAAAAGTTAAACAAAAAAGACGGATACATTAGACAAGATAGGCGGATAGATTAGACAAGACAGACTGATAGGATAGAAAAGACAGACGGATAGATTAGACAAGACAGACTGATAAGATAGACAAGACAGACAGACAGAGGTTTAGTTTTAGTAGAGGTTTTACGGCGCTCGCAACTGCCTAAGGTCATATGACCGCCAGAAGATTAGAGGCGTTACAAGAGAGTAACAAACATAAAGAAGAAGAAGGGGAGAAAAGGACGATATATGTTTCATAGGAAAGAAGAAGCACCAGAGCACCCGCCAACCACCCACCAAGACAGACAGATAAATTAGACAAGACAGACAGATATTAAACAAGACAGACGGACACATTAGACTAGACAGACGGATGACAAGACAGACGGATAGATTAGACATGACAGACGGATAGATTAGTCAAGACAGACTGATAGAATAGACAAGATAGACGGACAGATTAGACAAGACAGACTGATAGGATAGAGAAGATAGACAGATACATTAAACAAGACAGACGGATACATTGGACTAGAAAGACTGACAGGATAGACAAGACAGACGGATAGATTAGACAAGAAAGACGGATGACAAGACAGACAGATACATTAGACAAGACAGACAGACAGAGTTTTAGTTTTAGTAGAGGCGTTACGACGCTCGCAACTGCATAAGGGCATATGACCGCCAGAAGATTAAAGGTGTTACAAGAGAGTAACAAACATAATAAAGAAGAAGCAAACCTCACCAGAGCACCCGCCAACCACCTACCAAGACAAACAGGTAGATTAGACAAGACAGACAGAGATTAAACAAGACAGACGGATACATTAGACAAGACAGACTGATAGATTAGACAAGACAGACGGATACATTAGACAAGACAGACTGATAGATTAGACAAGACAGACTGATACATTAGACAAGACAGACTGATAGATTAGACAAGACAGACGGATACATTAGACAAGACAGACGAATACATTAGACAAGACAGACTAATAGGATAGACAAGACAGACGGATACATTAGACAAGACAGACTGATAGATTAGACAAGACAGACGAATACATTAGACAAGAAAGACTGATAGGATAGACAAGACAGACGGATACATCAGACAAGATAGACAGATAGATCTGACGGATAGCAGGTACAAAAGTATAGCCAAGCAAACACCCTCCACCCACCCACAGGCCTGACGCTTTCAGTACAAGTACCAATCTTGATGAAACAGAAGTAAGAAAAAACAAACTAAAAATAGAGTTTGTTAGAGTAAAGAGAAGCACATCGACACAGTAACGGTCATTTAGAGCTGGGAAAAGTAAAACTGACAGACAGAAAAACCGAAGGAAAGTTAAGAAGTAGGACCTACCAGTGGCACCCTCCAACCACCTGCTGAAAAGGAACATGGTAGGTGTCATTCCATTCCACAATCACCCATAAATATCACTTTCTGACGTGAGTTCGCTTCCCGTGGGAAAAAGTTATTTTATGAAGTGTCTTCGTCGGTCTTCTGGGATGTTGTATCTGTATCCATTTCAGCCAGGGTTGGCAGGGTAGAAGCCCACCTCCTAAAGTATCTAAATTGTATCAGTGGGGACGTAAAAACACCCAAATTATTAGTTGACACCTGCGGGTGGCTGGCAGGTGCTCTGGCATGGTTTGTTCCTTCTTTATTAAACA